CCCCCCCCGCCTCTCCTTCGGTTCTTGTCGGAAACGGAGCTTCGGCGCTGGTCGACGAGGCAGCCAGCGAGCGCGCGACCAACTGTTCCCAACGGACCGCGTTGCTGGGGGAGCCCCAGGGTCTTGAAATAAGACCCTAAAACTAGACACTGGAGGCTTTTAAACCGTTTTGCGACGTCTGATCCGGCTGGCCGCTGAGGGTGTTTGGTGGGGAGCGTCTAGTGTGGGTTTTCTCGAGGGTGGGCTTGTTTCGTGCGTTAAGCTGCTGTAAGGTGCCCGATGTGTGCCTTGATGCTGCCAGAAGAGGGTTTTTCAGAGCAGTTGAAGCTTTGCCCGCGTTTTCGTGTGTTACAGTTTGTTCAGTAACCATCAGTTTTCTCTACGTGTCAATGTTATTCTGCCAACGGAGTATTATTCCTCTCCTTCCCTCTAGTCATGCTGTGGAGAGGGTGGCTTAGGTGTTTTCACTGTCTGTGGGATATCTTTAGGAAAATTATCACCCTGGCTGCTTCTGCCAACTCCTAACGGAGCTGCTGAATCCGTGGCAGTGCAGTCTCCCTATGCTTCATTTAAGCATTACCTTTCTTGGTTTTATTTTTTAGTGAAATGAAGCTGAAGGAAATTGATCGTACTGCCATGCAGGCATGGAGCCCTGCCCAGCAGCACCCCATTTACCTGGCCACAGGTGAGTTTCTGGGAAGCGTGTGCTAGCAGACCTTGGGCTACATGTCGTGGCTGCCACGAAGTGGTCGGCCATGGTCATAATTGAAAGTTTTATTTAGTGTCCTGAAGGCTGGAGCGGGGTATATGGTGCAGTGGCTTTAGTGGAGTTCACCAGTTGTGCCGTACATGAAAACATACTTTCTGTTCTGCAAGTGACAGCAAGCATCCTCTTCTTTCTGCCAGGGTTAGGTGACAGCAATCCTAATTCAGTGTCCCTTGCTGCTTATTTCTGATTTTTTTCATTTTCTGTGCGTCGTCAGGGAGAGAGAGGCACTTGCCCAAAACTTCTCTTATTCATAGTGGTTAAGAAACTCCCAAAGGGAGAACAGTTATGTAGAACTATGCCTAAATAACAGAAACAGAAATGTGACCCCATCTCAGGGTCCTTTTTGCAAGGATAATGTTTTATGTCCTTCCTCGTGCTGCTTTTGCAGTTGCTCTTTTGTTTGTCGTGGCTTTCTTGCTGCCAAGCACACTTCTTTGCAGGTACATCAGCTCAGCAGCTGGATGCAACCTTCAGTACAAGTGCTTCTCTAGAAATATTTGAGTTGGACTTATCAGACCCTTCACTGGATATGAAGTCATGTGCCACCTTTTCCTCCTCTTGCAGGTAAGCAGTGGGGTTCTACGGGAAACGTAATGGGTGTGGAACTGTTATACTTGTTGTGCATGGAAAGCCACTTCATGAGGTTTATGTGCAGTTAAGGAGAGGAGCAGAAGTTCAGTGCTGAAGGATGAAGGCATGTGAGTGCCATTGTGAAGGCAGTTGTGAAGGTGTCATTGTGAAGGCAATGAGCTTGGACTCGGGGGACTTGCAAGCAGCTTATGCTCTGACCTAAACCTAAAAAATCTGACATTGGCTGCTGGGTTTGAATATGTATGTAGACCATTTATCTTGGGGAGCCTCTGAGATTCTCCAGAGAACAGAAGAAAGTGTGAAATTATGAAAATAGAGTCACAACTTTTCACATTGCCCCATCCTGTTTGCATTTAGGTGTTTTGGGGAGACTCCTGTAACATAACTAAACTGGATCATGTTGTGTGTGTAGTATCATACCTCAGCCCGCAGCTGGGAAGCCAAATACCTGAGTGTACAACTCCACTTAGATCTTAGTTCCTTGTGCTTGTCCAAAGAAATATTGTTAGCATCAGAGCATCCAATTTCCATCTTGGCAGCACTTGTAGTGGCTCTCTGGTGGCTAGTCCAGTGGCTGCCACTCATGGGTGAGCTGAAACAACACAGATTGAAGTGCAGGATGTTTCTGTGGGCAGAGGAGATGAAAATTTTCATTGCCATTGGATTGGATCCATGACTTTTTCATACCAGCTACAGTGTCAGTATAAGCACTCCTTCCTCCAGTGACCCAAAAGGACATGGCTGGAGGTGCAGGCAATTGCAGCATTTTGCCAGTGTGGTCAAGTAATAATTTGACACTCCTAGAGAAGCAATTGACATCTCCCCAACCTCTGATATGAGTAGAAATCAATTGGACTTGAGTCTTCATTATCTGTTCTAAAGCTTTAACTTCAAGACATAGGGACCTACAACCGTTTCCTAAAGTTCTTGATGAAATGCAATTTGCTGGATTCCTAGAGGTTAAGTGTTGCCTATAAACAACTTGAAAGGGGTTGAAATTGTGTGCATTTCCACACAGTCAGATTGTCACCCTGCTTAGGGATGCTCTTCTGATTTGGGTGAATAACAGTTGTGGTAGTTTTCTCAGGTGGAAGCACAAGGTGTTAGGCTGCTGGCTTTGTGCCATGTCAGTTTTGTTGTAATGATTCATGGGACTGGCAGAGCAGTTGTGCTGGCAGGCAGCTCACAGTCTGTGCCCTGCAGTTGACTGCATCTTAGTATGTGGGGCTTGTGAGAAACAACCACAGTCTCTGTTTAATGCCCTGCGCTGTGGGCAAAGCTGATGTTAACATGTTCTGACCCGCTGAGAGCAGGGTGAGGTGTTTGATGTTTTAAAATTTCCTTTTTCTACCTTCTTTTAACTATGACTGAGATTTTTCAAGACTTGCCAAGTGATATTTGCTTACTGAATTTCAAAAAACACTCCTTATAGCCAGGATGCATTGCTCCTTTGAAAGTACTTCCCTTGGTGAGCAACACAAGAATTTGACTTTGCCCCAGAAAATGTGTTACAAGGGAGGTTGATTATTTTTCTTTTTTTTTTCTATTAAAGATAACAAGACATGCCCCAGCTAGTAATGTATGTGTCAGGCTTTATTTTGTTTTGCAGCAAATGAAAATATCCAGGTGATTAAACCCACAAAAGATAAATTCTGAAACACACTTTGTTAATTGTCCTCCAAGGAAAGTTTTGCGCTGCTTTTATAGAGCATACCTTATCTTGGAAAGAGCAAAGGGCAAGAGAAAAGTAATTGCACTGTTAACTCTGTTTTTTGTTCCTCACTGTTTTCTGCCTTCATTTTTAATTATAGTAAGTCCTGTTGAATGTTGCTGGTGGTGCAATACTAGTGCCTGAACCACCCTGTTGGTCACTCCTTTTCTTGTAACCTTGCATAGTTAGGTACAGAAGTATAAAAATTGTACCCAGGGAAAGGGTCTGTCTGATATCACAAACCAATTTCCCTTTGTAGCATCATTCTTTGAACCCCCACTATAATCAGAACACTGCACTAGTAGACTGAGCGCTTGGCTGTTACAGTATTTCTCACCCAACATATGCTCTTTGTCTAGCTTTCTGCAGTATCATGCTGGAGTGTCTGTGGTTTAACGAAATTACTTGAAGGCTGTCCAGAGATAACAAAGAGATTAATAACACCGTGAATGCTGAAGTAGCTCCTTGCCATGTTCCAGTCGATGTGGTTTTGCTTTCTGCTTGCATAAGACCTGATATTTGATGGTGTGTCATTTTATGTAGAAGAAATTCATTCTTTGCATGGGTGGATACACAGGAATGATGTTTTGCTTATGCAGCAAGTCATTGAGTTGAAGGAAATTTGCATATTTGCAGATGGACACAGTGGTGTGAAAATACTTCATTTCTGGAAGTGGGTTTAATTCCTCTTGGTTTAGCCTGGAAAATAGATTGTGGTCCAAGAGCCACCTTGTCTGTGATGTGAATAAACTACTTGCTGAGCCCCTAGGACAGCAGATGAAACACTTGCACATCCAGAAGCACAGATATGGAAAAGGATTTTCAATTTTTGTAGTTCCACCTTTTTCTTCTCTGATATGAGGAGTTGTTCACAACTAGCAGAAATCTACCTCCAGCCTGTGGTTGGATGGGTTTACGGTCCTTACTCTGATTACTCCTGTTGTTTTGCAAGGGTGAGCTCAAAATCACATGCAGTTGGGAGCACTTAATCTGATTTTGCAGCCAGACGATGAGAGATGTTATCGATTACCAGGTTATTGGTTGTCCATGTTGTGACCCTGCATCTTGATAACGAGCAGAATTGGGACATGTCTGCTCTGTCTGTTAGCAGCAGTCTGGAAGCTGGGGTGAGCAAAGTGGGGTGCATCAGTGTATGTGGAGCTGGTGGTGGATGGTTGTAGGCTGTGATGATATTTGTGTCTTACAGGTACCACAAGCTGATCTGGGGGCCACACAGCATGACCTCAGGTGAGACAGTTTCTGGAGTCCTGATTGCCGGGGGTGAAAACGGAAATGTCATTCTGTACGATCCAGCCAAAATCATAACTGGAGACACTGAAGTAATAATTGCCCAGAAAGACAAGCACACGGGACCAGTAAGAGCGCTTGATGTCAACATGTTCCAGGTTGGTTTTCTGCTGTTCTTCACCACATACCGTCACAGATGAGTAGCCTGTCTTAACTTGTAACTGTAAATGTTTTGGTCCCTTTCCCCTCCCCTAATTAAATTTGAACTAAATTTAGTGTTTGAGTGTCTGTATTTAGTAGGAAAAACCTGCCCTGTTACTGGTGTTTCAGGATGGGGAATGAAAGAGTTTAATGTGTCTGGTTCATTCCTTCCCTTCATTAGTTGTCAATTAGGGGGTCTTTTTAGCTCACCGTACGTGTAAAGTAGAGGTGGTCTTCTGTGGTGTTTTTAGCCAGTCTCCTTTTTTAACACCCACATACTGTGCCAATATTGTTTTCATCACATGGGGAGTATTTTCACGCTCTCACTCATGTTTCTGGTGACATCAGATTTTAGGTATCTCCTTTGGGTGTTAGGTAGGATCTGTCTTCAAGAACTCTAAGTATTGTTACTCGGAAAGAGGAGACAGAACAGGAAACATGGCAATGTAGCCTCTTTAGCAGAAGAGCTCTCAAACCCAACAATCTTTGCTCCATCACTAACAAGCATTTACTTCCTTCTAGATACAGTGGGTTGTTTTTTCCTTGTTCCCACCAGCTGTGCGAGAATTCAGTTGAATTTGTTTCCTAAATAGCACTTCTGTCCCTGCATACTTGCTTTTGGCAAGGCTGCCCTGTGTTCATTGTGTCCTCTCTGAACTTGAACCGCTTCCTTTCCCTTTCTGCCTGTTACAAAGTTGGGACTTGCTTGTCACCACCTGTGGGATGTGATCAAAGGGCATTCAGTGCCCTAGGCTTGTGTTGTGCTGCCTGGACTTTTGCATTCCAGGTGCAGGATTGCTCTGGATGATTGCACTCACTGTGGGTGGGGTGCTGTCTGCTGCTGGAGGCA